AGCCTAAAATTGCTTTTCTTTCTTTCTTTCTTTTTTTGAGACAAAGTCTTGCTCTGTCGCCCAGGCTGGAGTGCAGTGGTGTGATCTTGGCTCATTGCAACCTCCATCTCCCAGGTTCAAGCAATTTCTCCTGCCTCAGCCTCCCGGGCAGCTGGGACTACAGGTGTGCAGGACCACACCCAGCTAATTTTTTGTATTTTTAGTAGAGACGGTGTTTTATCATGTTGGCCAGGCTGGTCTCAAACTCCTGACCTCAGGTGATCCACCTGCCTAAGCCTCCTGAAGTGCTGGGATTACTGGCATGAGCCACCATGCATGGCCATTTGTCTGTTTTTAGTCTTTTTCTTTGTGTGTGGATTACTCATATGTATTGAATTATTTGACTGAAAGTATTCTAATCTGCTAAAATGTATTACCTCTTTTAACTCTCATACCAATCCTTACAAGGGAGGTATTACTAATTTATTTATTACTTTGTTCTAGAAGTTAATATTATCCCTGTTTTATACATGGGGCAACAGAAGGTTAACAGAAGGCAAGTGACTTGCCCCAAATATGTGGTTAGAAAGTAGCAAGAAGAAGGATTTGAAGACAATCTCCTAATTCCTAGTCCAAGTTGCTTTCTACCATACCTTGTCCCCCTGTATCTGGAGGTCATACAATCCTGCACAAGGGAATGAGCTTGTTCTGACATGATTCATGCTTGGTGAACCCATGAGACTTCTGAAAATCATCACTTTTTTCCTATACTTTTGAACCATCTTTTCAGTAGAGAGCTCTAACATCTTTTGTTGGTTGCAGAATTATCCTCTGGCGTCTTTTGAAGGCATTCAGAATCTTGAGGAAAGTGAAATCTGAGCACAGTCAGGATTTAGAGAGAAAACAGACATCGAAGGAAGATGAGGTAGGATTTTAAAAAATCAGCATGTCTGGCCAGGCATGGTGGCTCAAGCCAGTAATCCCAGCACTTGGGGAGGCCGAGGTGGGCGGATCACCTCAGGTCAGAACTTCGAGACCAGTCTGGTCAACATGGCGAAACCCCGTCTCTACTGCAACTACAAAAATTAGCCAGGCGTGGTGGCGGGCACCAGTAATCCTAGCTACTTGGGAGGCTGAGGCAGGAGAATCACTTGAACCTGGGAGGTGGAGGTTGCAGTGAGCTAAGATCACACCATTGCACTCCAGCCTGGGCAATAGAACAAGACTCTGTCTCAAAAAAAAAAAAAAAAAAAAAAAAGAAAGGAAAAGAAAAGAAAAGAAAAGAAAAACAGAAAAGAAAAGGTTTGCACAACTGCACCACTGAAGGAATATAGAGTATATCTTCCAAAGCAACCACTGCATAGGAAACAATATCATTTGGATGTGTAAGTTTTGGGGAACTTGTATAAAAATTACTCAGGCTACACTATAGTCTTTGAAATGTCTTGGTAAGAGATAGTCCTATTCTCCCTGCCTTTTTTTTTTTTTTTTTTTTTGAGATGGTGTCTCGCTCTGTCGCCCAGGCTGGAGTGCAGTGGCTGGATCTCAGCTCACTGCAAGCTCCGCCTCCCATTCTCCTGCCTCAGCCTCCCGAGTAGCTGGGACTACAGGTGCCCGCCACCTCACCGGGCTAGTGTTTTGTATCTTTTAGTAGAGACGGGGTTTCACCGTGTTAGCCAGGATGGTCTCGATCTCCTGACCTTGTGATCTGCCCGTCTCGGCCTCCCAAAGTGCTGGGATTACAGGCTTGAGCCACCGCGCCCAGCCCCTTTTCAGTTTTAATATACTTTTAAGACTGCTGACATTTCCTTTCAGGAGTTAAAATACCACCTTTCAATGTGGGTTTCAAGCATGAGTCAAAAATACTCTTAGGTTTAGTAGAGCCTGCCAATAACTCTACTTTCCCTAGACCATTCCAGATAACAGGCCAAAGATGCTTCATGACTTGGGGATGAGTGGTATTCGAATTCCAACCACAAAAGGCTCTCTCTAAGGAGACCTACTCCAGAAGCATTAGTGCACTTCACTGGCTTGGTCTGTGTAAATGCTCATCAGATTTAGAGTCTACACCAGAATGTGGTATCAGACTGGCTCTGTTTCCTGAACACCCAAGTCTGGCCTCTCAAACCCTGACAAATAGCACCTGACCCCTGGCTACCATGACTTTCTTTATAATGGCAGAGTCCAGGCAATGTGTGTGTAAGAAAGTTAAAGCAAAAAAAAATGTTTGATGGTCTTAATTGTTATTTAAATAACTCAATATATTCTGTTTACAAGGTTTGATCAAAACATTAAACATTGCAAATTTTTTTCCCGACTTTTAAGTTCAGGGGTGTATGTGCAGAATGTGCAGCTTTGTTACGTAAGTAAACGTGTGCCCTGGTGGTTTACTGCCCAGCTCATCCCACCACCTAGGTATTCAGCCCAGCATCCATTAACTATTCCTCCTGGTGCTCTCCCTCCCTCTCTCTGCCCACTCCAACAGGCCCCAGTGTGTGTGGTTCCCAGCAATGTGTCCATGAGTTCTCATCATTCAGCTCCCACTTATAAGTGGGAACACGTGGTGCTTGGTTTTCTGTTCCTGCATTAGTTTGCTGAAGATAATGGCTTCCAACACCATCTGGGTCCCTGCATAGGACATGATCTCATTCCTTTTTATGGCTGCATAGTATTCCATGGTGTGTATGTACCACATTTTCTTTATCTAGTCTATCATTGATGGGCATTTAGGTTGATGCTATATCTTTGCTATTGTGAATAGTGTTGCGAAAACATTGCAAATTTTATTTATTTATTTATTTGTTTATTTATTTTTGAGATGCAGTCTTGCTCTGTTGCCCAGGCTGGAGTGTGGTGGTGCAATCTCAGCTCACTCCAACTTCCACCTCCTGGATCCTGGATTCAAGTGATTCTCCTGCCTCAGCCTCCCAAGCAGCTGAGATTACAGGCACACGCCACCATGCCCACCTAATTTTTGTATTTTTAGTAGAGATGTGGTTTCACCATGTTAGCCAGGCTGGTATTGAACTCCTGACTTCAAGTGATCTGCCTGTCTCGGCCTCCCAAAGTGCTGGGATTACAGGCGTGAGCCACCGCACCCAGACACATCGCAGGTTTTAAATGCTAAAATAAGGGCCTCAGTACTTTGAATCTCTTATGATGACACTGTTTTTATCAAAGGAGTTTATGCCCTTTCCATTATCATACATATTACATATTACTGAATCATAATCAAGGCTTTACATACCTTGTTATTTGTTAGTGGTCTCTGTCAGCTAGAGGGCTAGAGCTCCACAAGGGCAGGGATTTCTTTTTGTTCAGTTATATATAACAAGCACCTGGAACAATGCCTGGCACATACTAGGCACTTAACATTTATTTAATGGATGGATGGATGGGTAGATGGATGGATGATTGGATGGAGCCATATTCCCTACCAGATTACTAGATTGTAAACATCCCAAATAAACATTCTAAGAAAAGTAATACATGTACTTTGTTAAATACAATTCAAACAACCTATAAGAAGAGTATGAGACTCATTAGGGAAATTTGAATAGTGAATAATTGATGCTCTTCATAAAATATTGCTTGTTTGTTTAGGTGTAGAATGTATTGCAGTTATGGTTTACATATTGAACTACTTAAAGACACAATGATGGCTAGCGTTTGTTGCAAAACAATCTCGAGGCAGGGGAAGGGCAGTGAGGGAGATATGGATGAAACAATCTGCCGTGAGTTGATCGTTGTTTTGGGGTAGTGAGTGCATGGAAGTTTATTACACTGTCGTCTCTACTTTTGCTTAATATACTTCAAAATACTTAACTGTATTTTTTTCATAATAAAAACAAATATTCAAGCGTTACAGAATGGCATAGAGTCAAAAGCAAGACTGTCCCATCTCTGAACTCTTACCCCTACATCGTCTCATTTCCAGCTCATTTGTTTTTTTAAAAAAAAAAATCTTAACTACAAGCACCTAAAACACACCAAGCTCTATTGTAGTCACTGGAGCTATAGTTGTAAGCAAGTGCTCACATGACAGTGTAGAAACAGATAATGAATAAGCTGATAAATATATAAGACAATTTCAGAGAGTGGTAAGTGCTCTAAGAAAACAAACCAGTTCTCCCCAAAGCAACCAGTGATTCCAGGTAGTCTAGGCATTTAGCCACACATGCGTGTGCAATGCATGTGTGTGCATGCATAATGCGTGTGTGTGCGTGCATGTGCAATGCGTGTGTGTGCGTGTGCACATGTGTGAGTGTGTAATGTGTAAGCGTGCGTGCGTGTGCACATGTGCATGCTCATGCATGTATCACATACCCTTTTATTGCTCAGATGGGAGTATCCATGCTGTTCTATACTTTGCTTCTTTCCTTGAATAATACATCCTACAGATAAGTCTATACCCAGACTGTGACCTTTCAAGAGCAAGGGCCACATGAACTCACTTCACATCCCCAGTGCCGGTCAGACCCACAGCAGAAGCCTGATAAATTTAATGCCTGATTGAAAGTCTTTCCAATCAAAAATTGGTTAAACAACAAATACTCTGCCTTCTCACCCTCTCTGTACCTTGCCTCTCCTACTCCAAAGGTGGGATCCAAGGGAGGTTTGCAGAGTTGTGTGGTGCCTGGCATATGGAGAGCTTTCAATCAATGTTTGCTAGAGGAATTCAGAGTGGGTTGAGAATTACAGCAAGGCAAAGACTGTCAGACAAACTTCTCCTTAATGAGAGCTGGGCATCTGGTGTGCTGCGCCAGGAAGAAAATGTGTGCCGGGTCCCCAGTGTGGACAAGTGTTCTCTGGCATTTGGAAGCAAAGCTAAAGCACAGTTTATGGTGCATGCCGCATGGTCTAGGTTGGTTTTCGTTTTTGGCTTTTTGTTTTTGTTTGTTTCCTTCACCTGCTCTAGCTGCTACAGCCTTTGATAATGCTGTACGCTTGCCCTAAGAATCACCTTTAATTCTCCGCAGATCTCAGAGAGCTGAACGTGGAATCACTGGGCAATCACTTACCTCATGGTTTATTTCCTGAAGAGCTTGACTCTTATAAGATCCAAGATGTCATGTTAATTTTTAAAAATGTATTCTTAGTAGTCATAATGATTCCGTTGTTGTTTTTCTGGAAAACATTAATAGCAAAAAGGCCACATGAGTTAAGTGGTCACCCAGACCATTTGAACCCCAAAACTTGCTTAATCTTGAATAGCCTGAGAAAGGTTAGAGGTATTTGACTATGTTCTTAAAAATAAAATACCTGAGTTATTGATAAATACAAAAAAAATGGAGTGAAGGGGAAGAACAACCAACTGTAAATTGGAACTTATTTACATATTTCCTAGCATTACTCATTTTGGGATAATGCCTATTTGTGTAAAGAGAGCTGAAGAACCTGAGGATATTCTTCCTGCTACTACATCCAGGTCAATGTGTGATACTCCCTTTGCTAATCATATTTATTTAAAAGATTGGAAGATTATTCCAACAAATTGATCTAAAGACCCCTTTTTCACAGCCCAAGATACTTGTAAAACTCTCCTTTTAAAATATCACTAAAAGATCTCATTTGACATAACATTAGTGTTAGGTTGAGTGGGAGCTCAGGCCTATCCATGATGGTTGTGTGTGCTAGGTGAGTTATATCAGTTTGTGTGAAGAGAGGGAAGTGAATGTGAGCACACAGAACATAGCAACAGAGGCTGGAGAATGCCTGCAAGTTTGAAAGAGGAAAGGAAGATACCAAAGACATTTTCCATCAAGTTAACCATCAAAATCATCATAGAAACAAGGACTGGCCAAAATGCTTGAGGTCTGCACATGTAAACACATGTCTTAGTCAGCTGGGGCTGCTATAGCAAAATACCACAGGCTGGGTGGCTTATACAACAGATATTTATTTTTTGAGATCAAGGTACCAGCATGGTTGGGTTCTGGTGAGGGCCCTCTTCCAGGCTTGCAGACAGCCGCCTTCTTGCTGTGTGCTGATATAGCCTTTCCACGGTGCCTTATTGTGGAGAGAGAGAGATCCATCTCTCTCTGACGTCCTCTTCTTATGAGGGCACTAATTCCATCATGAAGGCACCACTCTTGTGACCTCATCTAACCCTAACTACCTCCCAAAGGACTTTTAATACCATCACACTGAGGGATCAGGGCTTCAACACATGAATTTGGTGGAAGGGACACAAATATTTAGCCCAAAATAACACTAGAGTAATTTTAGAACTTTACACATGCATTTCATTTGGTTTTTGTGAGAATCTATGTATATCAGGAAGCCCTGTACAAGTTTGCTTTGGATTGATTATTCACTTGACATTCAAGAAATATTTCTTATCATTTACTCTGTGCCTGGTGCAGTCGTAGGCCTTGGGGAATTCAGCAGGAAAAAACAGACATGGTCCCTGTCCTCAAGGAGCTCACAGTTTAATGGGAGAAAAAGAGAGACAATGAATAAACAAACAAAGAAAAAAGTAAATACAAATAAATCAATCACTTGTGATTTGGCTTTGAAGGACAATTACAGATGTAGTCCTAGAGAAAAGGACGGGGAAGAGGTGATTAGGAAAGACGCCTCTTTGAAAAGGCAACATTGAAGCTGATACCTGAAAGATAAGAAGCCTGCCCTGTGGAAAATGGAAGAGGGTTTCAGCAGATGGAACAGCAGGTGTGAAGACCTCCAGGCAGAAGAGAGGCTGGCATGTTCTAGGGACCAAAAGAAGCTTCTGTGTCTGGAACGCAGTCTATGATAGGGAGAGGACAGCATGAGGTTGGGGGGACTGGGAGGACAAGATTGCAGGGGGCCTTGTTAGCCAAGATAAGGCCTTCATTTTATTCTAAGAATGATGGGAGCTGTTATAGAGCTTAAACTGGAGAAAGAGGTGGTTTGGTTCATGGGATTTGTTCACTGTTAAGAGAAGCAGTCAGTAGATGAAGGTAAAGAAGGCAGGAAAGACAAAGACAAAGCCAGAACCAATTTAGATATTTTGAGTAAATCAGTTTTCTTCTAGCCTTCGTGGTCCTAGAAAACTATATGTAGACTTAGTGTTGTTTGAAAATCATTTTTTAGGTGATGAAGGGACAGTGCATTCAGCAGACGTTTGTTGAGTGTCTACCCAGATGTGTTATGTGGTGGTGGCACAAAGATTGAGTAAGACAAAAACCCTGGCCACCAAGAGCACTCAGGCCAGTCAAGGATACTGACAAGCACACCAAAGACACTCAAAGAACACATGAAGAGCTCTGAGAAGGGTAGTTAAGGAGGAGGAGGAGGAGGAGGACTCTGAAGATCGAGCCGTGCCGGGAAGGGCAGGCAGCAGGAAAGGTCTTGTGCAAAACACAAGTGCTGCATGAGCAGATTCCTTAAGGAATGAGGACGACTTTTCCCAGGTGGATGGAGTTAGAAAAAAAGCAGGCAGGGGGAACAGCACACACAAACTTTCGGAGATGAGTGAGCCACGAGTCTGAAAGCCACTGTGACAGCTCGTGTGGCCAGAGCACTGGGCCACAAAGGGGAGTGACAATGAGGATCTTCTCTACCAATAAGAGGGGATGAGGGAAGAAAGTTAAGATGAATTTCTTTAGAAGACGTGTGAAGAACAATTTGGAAGAAGAATAAAGGCAAAGTAGAATCTGATGCAACAGCCCAGGCAACAACACATTAGTCACATCTAAGGCAAGATGGTAAGCCTCAAAAAGGTAAGACCACGTGACAGTCTTCATTGTATTCCCTTGACCACCAGGTACAAAACCAAACACGCCATATTTTCTTAAATTACTATTAAATTGCATTGAGTAAATATAGCACCCTCACAGTGAGGGATCAGGACTTCAACATATGAATGAATTAGAATTTGTATATTCTAATATACAAAATGTCCAGCTCTAGATTCGGGATAAGATATTACACTACCAGAGAGAGGCAAAGCACTAGGTGCTATTTTTACATATTTATAAGGCCCAAACAGGTTAATGCATATTCTTGACATCACAGATTTATTTCTATGTTAATTTACTTTCAGAAAGCATATGTAACCATAATATACATGGGGGAAAAGCAATTTTATTCATGTATTTGGACATAAAAAATATCATTATGCAGTCTAATAATCCCAGTTGACAGTTAGAATCATTTAAAAAAAACAGATATATTAAGAAAATTCAAGAAAGCAACAACTACACTATGGTCTGGCTCCTCTGTTTTGTTGGGTGGCACTGATTTACACCAGCAGGCACAGTCATTTACAAGTCCATTTTGTGATCAATGCCTAGCCTATTTGCCTATATACGGCATTATGAAAAGTACAAGCAGGCCTACTAAAGAATTCCAACTGCCTAGACTTTTGCAGGCAAGTGAAAAAGAAGGATTTTTGTTGTAACCTGTTATGTTTACATTTTTTCTATCCTATGCTGACAGCACAGGTTTGGGGTCCCTGGTTAGATACCAACGTACTACTATACATATCATTTAAAAATTCAAATGGGGTTAGTTTAGATGTTGGTTCAGATCTTTTCCAAAATAGGAAAGGGCATTTTTATTCCTTTTGGATGATTCAAATCTTTTCCAGAATAGAAAAGGGCATTTTTAGTCAGTTTGGATAACTTTGAGTTTTTCTAGATAAATTTAATCTGTAAGGGATGAAAGTCGATCGGGAATTATCTCTGCCAATGACTTGGTCCAGCCAGTGGACGGTGAGTAAGTCTTGCTTCTTCTCCATATAACTTAATTCCCACATTTCCCTCCACTTTCACTGAATGAAAAGAGAAGATGTTTGCACCATAGGAAGCCACAGATAATTGAGAGAACTTTCTAAGATAGTTTTTTCCTTTCTTCTTTTTATCCTCACTTTCTCTCCCCACTCAGAGTTTAAATAAATGATACATCTCTGGCTTTCCTTGCAGCCCACCTCCCCGCCCCTCCTTTTGGATAAGCCTCAGCTTCGCGGCCTGGCATGCCGGAGAAACTGGTTCTACACACCCAGGGGGAAAATGACAGCTTTTCACCGCAAGCTGCTCAGCTCATAAATAGCGAGGGATAGCGTCCACACACGTCCCGACCTGCCTCTTTCCAAACGCCTGTACAGCCAGCATGGCAGGAAAGTCTTCAGGGAACATTAACAGCTCTTTACATAACTTTCTGTAAAGTAGCTTAGTAATGTTTGCAGCCTAAACAGCCCACAGGTGATAGTTCTGCCATTCTAATGCCTACAAGTGAATGACCAGCTCACCTGGGCGGTTCTTTCTTCTTCCAGAGTGGCCCTGGGAGACAGGGAGAGGGAGAAAAGAACAGAGCTGAGTGGAGGGAGAAGTTAGCTTAGTAAAGAATGAAATGTCCACAGACCTGGCAAAGGGCCTATGATTTTATGCCTTGAGGTAAGAAAGTCAACTGCTTTTCCTGGAACTTGGTCTAAATTTCACACCCGCTTTTGCAAATGTCTGCTGTACGATGAGTTGTGTGAGCTCATGGTGGAAAGTGACAAAGTAGGTACACAGCTGATATAATTTATTTATAAATGCATGAGTGCCGAAAGGAGGTAAAATCACACAGAGTTGATTTAGCTGTTGTGTTGTTCATGGAAAATATATTGCATACCAACAAAATACACAGATGCACATCTAAATTATTTTAAAGATCACATTTAAACCTGGAAAATACCAGTGACTTTTTAACTTTATCACATCATAGTTCAGGCTTTAAAAAAATGAATCTATGATTATTTCCTCTTGAGACTATAAGAGAAATAATGAATATTAAAATGAAGGTACTTAGTTGTCCTTTTGTATTTAAAACTACCAGGAAAGGGAAAAAAAAAAAAAAAGCAGTTTAGGTTAAGTTTAAGGAAGGAAAGAAAAAGGGGAAAAAATAGATTGTCATTTTCAGATTATCATTTCATTTTAATAAGATTTTTAGGTGGTGATTGTTTTTTGCTTGTTTGTTTGTTTGTTATGCAAGCTCAACAGTATAACAACAGAACTTAAAGATCTTCAGGTTTGAGAGGAATTATTAAGGGCTAGACCTGTTTATGTATTGCTTTTAATATACATTTCACAGCGTTTACTGCAGAAATCTCTTTGGGGAAATTAGTAATGGAACAATTTCTATATTTAAGAACCATAAGCCTC